GAGCATTCAAGGTCTTGTTCTTGTTACATAATGTAGGCTGATTTTGTTGAATCTTAGAGTACCTTCTCTTGTGCTGGATACAGCTTGGAGAAAACTTTAAGCACATGGTCATTTAAACGTCTCTCACAGCCGGGTTACAACAGGATAATTCAACATAGTACAGTTTTCAATTCGTCATTTCCACATCCCCCGTAATACACCTTGTTTGCCCCCCAAACTTTTGCAGAAGCATTGTCTTCAGTTTCTTTTGGGACGACTGTAATACCCAGGAGAAATGGGAAAAAAGGGTTATGCAGAATTTTGGGGGGCAAACAAGGTTTATTATGGGGGATGTGGAAATGGCAAATAGACTTTAACAGAATGACTGACTGACAAGGATTCTCATAGAAAGCGTTCACCTCAACTCCTGAATATCAGCCATTTCCCTTTTAAGGTCAATGATCAGAGCTTTGATCGCACTGTTAACCTTCTGCTTGGCTTCTTCATCCTCTGATACCTGACAAAGAATGAATCAACAAGTTCATATATATAAAACAATAATCAAAAGATCTGTTTTTGCTTGGCAGTTGTCACTAAAGATATTCACTAACTTGACATCAAGCTTAAGCCTTTATGGTTCAAGTGCAAAAATTAAAGATAGAAGCAACCAGAGATAGAAAAGCACACATTGAAGCAAAAATTGAAATTTGTGACTGTGTGATGTACATAGGCTACATCTGGTATGCTACATGTACAAACAAAACAAATCATTAAAGGCTACTATGTAAAAAAGACCAATATCAAGTCTATGCATTACTGCATTATTTTTTTTCCTAAATGTGTTGTTTCTACATGTTACTTTCTACCTGGGACTTGTCCATTTCTTCTTGTATCGCTGAAGACAAAGAACTGATCATTGCGTCAAGATCACCAAATGACGCATGTCTACTGACTGTTTCACTGCTGTCTTGGGATACTTTCAGGGCCTGTTGAGTGCAGGTACATTATGTAATTGACCCCAGTTACAACCAACACCTACCATTTTCAAATAACTGTCCCCTTTCTAATGAGCACTCCCCACTGAGTGTTGTTGTTGTTGTTGTTGTTGATAATAGAGTGGTTTTCAATTGAGTGTTGTAAAACACAAAACTAAACCAATTGCTTACCAATTGGACTACTCAGCCAATCTCAAACCATAGTAAAACCAAAACCAAAGTTATTGCCTGATTACTAACTTTCGATAACCGCTCTCTTTCAAGAAGCGCCCTTCTAATAAGCGCTCTCATAATGAAGGTGCCATTCAAGACAATGATGTAAGATAGACTGATAGAATGATGTAAGTCTGCTTTCTCATCTCAAATTATGATTATCAGACCTACTGCATTGTTAGAGCTCTTGAGTGAAAGTATCTGTCGTTTTACAGTAAACTATTATATCACCTTTAGATGTAAATTTTCAAAAGAAATGAGCATCCAGTCTCTAATAAACAAGTAGTATTTAGTGACCAGGATGTTAAATGGAATCATTACAGCACTCAAAATGATAAACACAATATTGACCCTAGTATATCTTTTGGGGAAATTATTAATCCCAACATTCTTCACCAAATTTCCCCTCTCTAATCTCTGCTCTGGGCAAGTCAAGCTCTTCATTCACTCTCTAAAACCATGATAGCAAAACAAACCTTGATTGAAGGCCGCCTATTTGAACTCTCAGGGGAAATGAAAAAAGTTCAAAATAGTGGGAGTTCAATATAACCAATGGCAAATGACTAGAGGGCAAATCCGGGGGAAATGCTTTTGAGTTTGAAATAACAGGGAATTTTAAATAACAGTTCCAATTAGTGGGGTCCAAAAAAAGACACTTTCAATTGACCTTATTTAATATCAAATGATGTCATCACTTATTTTGTAAAAAAAAAAAATCATGAACCTTCTTACCAGCTGTAAACTCGAGAGAGCCGTTACAAGGTCCTCTGTACACTGGTTAACTTTGTTCTTGACATCTGTGATGTCCTGACGACTTCTCTCCTAAACCAGAAAGAACAAGAACCACTTTTGCCTTTTCTACTTTGAATGAGAAATGACTAAACACATTACATTAATGTTAAATTTAATAGTATTCTCGTACCTGCCATTCCTCATAAACTTCAACAGCAACACCTGGCTCCACACTACAGCTGTCTAGTGCATCTGAAACTGTAAATTCATCAGTTTAAACCATTATGGAACATGGGAAGTCTTTACTCTTGTCACAGACAACTTGAAAATATAACAAAAATAACTTTCAGTATTATGTTGCTAGGAAACTTTACTGTTTGAGCATTGTATAAGTGTCCTAACATACCAACATTTGGAAGGTGGAATACTAATTTGGTCATGATCTGGGTTGTTTTACCATTCAAATGATTAAAATGCTTCTTGAATAAAGAAAATTGTTGACTTAAGTTTAGTTCAGGCCTAAAGAAAGTTGCTGGGGGTCATATTAATAAGCTGACTACTAAGTAATTTTGCAAGGTATTCAATTCTCATGTAACAACAAGTACCTTCTTGTTCTTGAAGCTGGTTAAGTGCATGCTGAAAAGAATGAGCATGACACGCTTTGATTAGAAAGAGCGGAAAATAACAGTATTGGAGACGTCACGTAGAAACACTTAGCTAAATTGTGAAATCTTTTTTTTTAATTTTGCAGTCGAAAGACTCTGAAATCATGACTGCCAAAGATAACAAGACATCCAATGTTTGCAAATAGTACAATGTAAATGGCCATGACTTAATAATGTAATGANGTCATATTAATAAGCTGACTACTAAGTAATTTTGCAAGGTATTCAATTCTCATGTAACAACAAGTACCTTGTTCTTGAAGCTGGTTAAGTGCATGCTAAAAAGAATGAACATGACACGCTTCGATTAGAAAGAGCAGAAAATAACAGTATTGGAGACGGCGTGTAGAAACACTTAACAGCTAAATTGTGAACAAATCTTTTTTTTTATTTTGCAGTCGAAAGACTCTGAAATCATGACTGCTAAAGATAACAAGACATCCAATGTTTGCAAATAGCACAATGTAAATAGCCATGACTTAATAATGTAATGAGAGTCCCTTGTAGCAGGCTGCGTCATTTCTTCCTGGGGGATGGAGGAGTAGCAAGGTTTCTCCTCCTCAGGAATCTTTGGCAAGATTGTGCATGCAGAAGTACATTTAATACAGTTATAGTGCAGACCAATGACATATCTAAATTTATATTACATGTATAGCAATACAAGTCATGTAGGTAATTACAGTGTATAGTGAATTTGTAAAATATGTAAAATGTTATAGTTTCCACTTTGCTACCTAGTATCATGTTTGAAGCCAAAAATAGGCAACTAACTATTTTTAGATTTTTCATTCAACAGGATCCCATTACCTGTAAGGACTTTTCTCGCTCTTGAAGANGTGACCCCACAAACCAGCCATTTTGTTTCAGCCCATGAGCATTCAAGGTCTTGTTCTTGTTACATAATGTGGGCTGATTTTGTTGAATCTTAGAGTATCTTCTCTTGTGCTGCATACAGCTTGGAGAAAACTTTAAGCACATGGTCATTTAAACGTCTCTCACAGCCGGGTTACAACAGGATAATTCAACACAGTACAGTTTTCAATTCGTCATTTCCACATCCCCTGTAATACACCTTGTTTGCCCCCCAAACTTTTGCATAAGCATTGTCTTCAGTTTCCTTTGGGACGACTGTAATACCCAGGAGAAATGGGAAAAAAGGGTTATGCAGAATTTTGGGGGGACAAACAAGGTTTATTATGGGGGATGTGGAAATGGCGAATAGACTTTAACAGAATGACTGACTGACAAGGATTCCCACAGAAAGTGTTCACCTCAACTCCTGAATGTCTGCCATTTCCCTTTTAAGGCCAATGATCAGAGCTTTGACCGCACTGTCAACCTTCTCCTTGGCTTCTTTATCCTCTGATACCTGACAAAGAATGAATCAACAAATTCATATAGATAAAATAATAATCAAAAGATCTGTTTTTGCTTGGCAGTTGTCACTAAAGATATTCACTAACTTGACATCAAGCTTAAGCCTTTATGGTTCAAGTGCAAAAATTAAAGATAGCAGCAACCAGAAATAAAAAAGCACACATAGCAAAAATTGAAATTTGTGACTGTGTGATGTACATAGGCTGCTACATCTGGTATGCTACATGTACAAACAAAACAAATCATTAAAGGGTACCATGTAAAAAAGACCGATATCAAGTCTATGCATTACTGCATCATTTTGTTTCCTAAATGTGTTGTTTCTACATGTTACTTTCTACCTGGGACTTGTCCATTTCTTCTTGTATCGCTGACGACAAAGAACTGATCATCGCGTCAAGATCACCAAATGAGGCATGTCTACTGACTGTTTCACTGCTGTCTTGGGATACTTTCAGGGCCTGTTGAGTACAGGTACATTATGTAATTGACCCCAGTTACAACCAACACCTACCATTTTCAAATAAGTGTCCCCTTTCTAATGAGCACTCCCCACTGAGTGCTGTTGTTGTTGTTGTTGTTTAAAATAGCATGGTTTTCAATTGAGTGTTGTAAAACACAAAACCAAACCAATTACTTACCAATTGGACTACTCAGCTAATCTCAAACCGTAGTAAAACCAAAACCAAAGTTATTGCCTGATTACTAACTTTCAATAACCGCTCTATTCCAAGAAGCGCCCTTCCAGTAAGCGCTCTCATAATGAAGGTGCCATTCAAGACAATGATGTAAGATAGACTGATAGAATGATGTAAGTCTGCTTTCTCATCTCAAATTATGATTATCAGACCTACTGCATTGTTAGAGCNGACAATGATGTAAGATAGACTGATAGAATGATGTAAGTCTGCTTTCTCATCTCAAATTATGATTATCAGATTAACTGCATTGTTAGAGCTCTTGAGTGAAAGTATGTCATTTTACAGTAAACTATTATATCACCTTTAGATGTACTGAATTTTCAAAAGAAATAAGCATCTCTAATAAACAAGTAGTATTTAGTGACCAGGATGTTAAATGGAATCATTACAGCACTCAAAATGATAAACACAATATTGACTCGAGTATATCTTTTGGGGAAATTTTTAATCCCAACATTCTTCACTAAATTTCCCTTCTCTAAGCTCTACTCTGTGGGCAAGTCAAGCTCTTTATTCACTCTCTAAAACCACAATAGCAAAACAAACCTTGATTGAAGCCCACCTACACTCACCTACACCACTCTCAGGGGAAACGAAAAAAGTTCGAAATAGTGGGAGTTTAATATAACCAATGGCAATTGACTAAAGGGCAAATCCGGGGAAATGGTTTTGAGTTTGAAATAACAGGGAATTTTAAACAACAGAGTTCCAATTAGTGGGGTCCAAAAAAAAGACACTTTCAATTGACCTTGTTTAATATCAAACGATGTCATCACTTATTTTGTAAAAAAAGCATGATAAACCTTCTTACCAGCTGTAAACTTGAGAGTGCCGTTACAAGGTCCTCTGTACACTGGTTAACTTTGTTCTTGACATCTGTGATGTCCTGACGACTTCTCTCCTAAACCAGAAAGAACAAGAACCACTTTTGCCTTTTCTACTTTGAATGAGAAATGACTAAACACATTACATTAATGTTAAATTTAATAGTATTCTCGTACCTGCCATTCCTCATAAACTTCAACAGCAACACCTGGCTCCACACTACAGCTGTCTAGTGCATCTGAAACTGTAAATTCATCAGTTTAAACCATTATGGAACATGGGAAGTCTTTACTCTTGTCACAGACAACTTGAAAATATAACAAAAATAACTTTCAGTATTATGTTGCTAGGAAACTTTACTGTTTGAGCATTGTATAAGTGTCCTAACATACCAACATTTGGAAGGTGGAATACTAATTTGGTCATGATCTGGGTTGTTTTACCATTCAAATGATTAAAATGCTTCTTGAATAAAGAAAATTGTTGACTTAAGTTTAGTTCAGGCCTAAAGAAAGTTGCTGGGGGTCATATTAATAAGCTGACTACTAAGTAATTTTGCAAGGTATTCAATTCTCATGTAACAACAAGTACCTTCTTGTTCTTGAAGCTGGTTAAGTGCATGCTGAAAAGAATGAGCATGACACGCTTTGATTAGAAAGAGCGGAAAATAACAGTATTGGAGACGTCACGTAGAAACACTTAGCTAAATTGTGAAATCTTTTTTTTTAATTTTGCAGTCGAAAGACTCTGAAATCATGACTGCCAAAGATAACAAGACATCCAATGTTTGCAAATAGTACAATGTAAATGGCCATGACTTAATAATGTAATGAGAGTTCCTTGTAGCAGGCTGCATCATTTCTTCCTGGGGGATGGAGGAGTAGCAGGGTTTCTCTTCCTCAGAAATCTTTGGCAAGATTGTGCATGCAGAATTATATTTAATACAGTTATAGTGTAGACCAATGACATATCTAAATTTATATTACATATATAGCAATACAAGTCATGTAGGTAATTACAGTGTATAGTGAATTTGTAAAATATGTAAAATGTTATAGTTTGCACTTCGCTAGTATCATGTTTGAAGCCAAAAATAGGCAACTAACTATTTTTAGATTTTTCATTCAAGAGGATCCCATTACCTGTAAGGACTTTTCTCGCTCTTGAAGAGGTATCAAATCCACTTCCTGGCAAAACAAATCAATCGAGTAAAATAACTCTTTTCTTGCCTTGTCTCTCTGAGCAACAATGTCAGCTGCTAACAACTCCTACAGCAGAAGCAATGCAAAAATTAATTAATATTCAAAGTATTGATACAGCTCATTTAATTTGTATGTGAAACTACATGACACTGTTCTTCAACCTATGGGTTATACATTATAAATGCCAAATCTAAAAATAAGGTCACACTGTTCACATAACAATGGGGATTTGCCAATAAGTAACAAACAGGACGTGGCTTTGCCTTGTAACGTTATTTCACTACCAAAAGTACAGAGATATTGTCAAGCTTGTTCCCAGAGAATGCTACATGTACGTGTACCTTTTTGGTCACAACAAAATATAGGGAGGTCCATTGGACATTCTGTCACTGCTGAAGTGAAGGAGGAAATTACAGTAAAGCACTTGCAGGGAACCCGTGGATGTTCATGAAGTCACAATTTTTACATTATAAGCAATCAATAATAATGAAGGAGTTCTCATTTTTTGGTGCTCACCATAAGCCCAATGACCTCTTTGTTATGAGGTAACTGTCCATGAAAAGAATTTATTCTGCATCAACAACATTATTACCGGTAATGTCAACAAATTACCACTTCCGTGTCCCATTTTCAATTTGCAAAATCAATACCAGAGCTGTTGAAACATATTTACCTGGCTACACTGAGTATACACAACATTACCTTGTCTTTACACTGACTTAAACACTCCTGGGCTTTTTGGAGATTACTCTCAGACTCACGCACCTAGATGTAACAAGCAAATTTATAGTCAAATACAGTCATGTACTACTGCTACTGGTCTGGAAGGCTGTATGTTCTCACAGAGTACACCCAATTTTTTTCAAGCATTATAGTTTGAATTTGGGAAATTTCCATTAACAAAATAATGGAACAGTATTTTCTGGTTGACAGTACTATATTGGAAATGTTTCTGCTAACTACATTATGGAAAACCAAACATTTGAAAATTTTTGTAATTTCCAGAATTTTTTGATCAAATAGAAAATGTCAATAAAACCTTCTGAAGAGGGCCATTCCTAAAGGGATCAAATCAATACACCCTGAAGAAGGCAGTAATGCCGAAACATCGGTTGATTTATACTGCCATTAAGCGTCTTTTTAACAGTATTTTTAACATTTACTTCAAATTAATACCACATGTACTTGTTTGGTTTACATGCAGATTGGTTACATGTAATCTGCCCCAAAGCTCATTTTCTATTCTTATGCAAGTACTTGCTCTTTACCTGACACAAGGATTTCAATGACTCCAAATCAACCCTGTTTTTTCTTGTCAAGTCTATTGCTTCCCTGATCACCACAGAAGTCCTTCCATTTCCAAGAGTGGTGTCTCTGTGAGCAAGTGACACCAAAGAAGAACTTAATGCAGCAATAAAAAGGTAAAAAGACAACATCGCACTACAGAAGAAATAATAACTTGAAGGCATCACAAGACGTAAGTGACAACATGGGAATGAAATTGATATATTTGTTTTACAGGT